ATAGGGCCCCAGTTATACCCACCGGTTTTGAATCTCAGTAATTTTTGGATGTGATTTTTTTGAATTATCTGGCTGATTGTGTTTGGCTTTTACTGCAGTGCATTACACCAAAAGCATATTCAGGGATAGGTTATACTTGATTGAGGCATATCATTTGGTTCCTATTTATAAGCATTGAAGACATTCTCCCAATGCTTAATTTTGGCAGGACCAGAAGTCAGTCAAGGACCAACAGATCCATGTCTTTAGGAGGTGAGTTTTCGATTGCGCTTGATTATGTTTTTTCTTTTTTTTTATTTCTGTGAAATTTATTATGTTCATCCGGCGTTATGAGAATCGATGAAGGAGGTGGAGGTGAAATTAGAGTCTGCTCAATATGTTGCATTGTTTCAATTCGGATATTTTGTGCTTATGTGGAAGTTTTGAGCTTATATCTTGGACCCTGTTGTGCTTGTAGGCATGGAGTACCCAGATCCCAAGAGGAAGAACAACTTTGTAGGAAAAATTCTTTTGGCTGCTACCCTTACAGCATTATGTATTATTATGCTGAAACAATCCCCATCCTTCAATACCACAAGCTCGGTAATCCCTTCATCCTGCGTATTTTCTTTGGTTGAAGGTATACTTCAGTATGCAATTATTGTATTCGAATGGCTTTCTGAATAATGATAATTTGCTTCATGCAATATGATCCCTTTCTGATTAGATAATTATCAGTAGCTCATTTTTCCTCTCTTGCCATTTGATCATTATCCGACAATAATTATTTTAGTAATGAGGTTTGACATATTTGAGAATATCTTAGTTGTATATGCTGTTTCCCTTGGATGCATGATTAACTGACCACTGACCACTGCTGAGCTCCATGGGTGCCTCAAAAATAGGCATACACCTTTGTTCTGAGGGAGGGAGGACAAGGTGAGGGAATGCGGGATACCAGGGAGAAGAGGAGGCTAAGGGGTCCTAATAGCCTTACCCTAGGAAATCATAACGGGGATCACAGTTTGATGTTGATTTGGTCCTTTTCATTGGAGAAAATCATTATGTGATCATATCATCTTGCATCTGGTTGGGGTTATCAACTCTGGTCCAGTGCATTTTCTTGTTGTATATTGTCGATACCTGCTTGGATCAATAATTGCCTTCTTCAATCTCCTTACTGCTTGACAGAGTTATAGACTTTTGTTTTGGTCAACTATTCTCAGCATTTTGATTGTTGTTGATACTTTAGATATGAAAACTTGGATACAAGGTTTTTGCACCGTTGTACTGTAACATTTTGCTAGTTGTATTTTCTTTTTTGTTTGGTGGAAGTAAAATGTTCTATTTTGTTTTAATGTCTTCATACAATATCAGAAGTTCTATGAAATGTAAAAAATTGGGACCTTTTCTTACCGTGTACAATTTTTATTGGTCCAGTTCTCCATTCATGAAGCAGGGGTAACTCATGTCCTAGTAACTGGAGGTGCTGGATTTATTGGTTCACATGCTGCATTACGACTCCTAAGGGATCGATATCGTGTAACTATTGTGGTAGGTCTCTTTTGGATGAAGGTGGCGTCTTCTTTTATACTTAACTTGGTAATTACTCTAGATGATTAAAATTTTCTTCCTTTGACAGGATAACCTCTCACGGGGGAACATAGGTGCCATCAAGGTTCTCCAAGAGTTATTTCCTGAACCTGGGAGGCTTCAGTTTATTTATGCTGACTTGGGAGATCCAAAATCTGTATCCTTGTGATGTTCTTTATGAGTGTTGTTCAAAATATTTTGTGCAAATTAAAAGTGCTAATCGTCAATGTAGCCTTAACTAAATATTCCAGGTCAACAAAATATTTTCGGAGAATGCATTTGATGCTGTGATGCATTTTGCAGCTGTTGCATATGTTGGGGAAAGCACACTTGATCCACTTAAGTAAGTACTATCCATGAGCTAGATCTGGACCATTTACTATTACTGAAATATGCTCGTCTTGCTTATGTGCTTTTATTTTTACCTGAACTTTCTTTGTTTAAGAATTTTCCCTTAATGATGCGATGTGGATATTCATGAATTTCAGCTTAGTATTAGGAACTTAGGGCTGATGTTGGATGTTGACAAGGCCTGAGAAGACTTTGATATAACATGTACGTATAATCTTACTAATGAAAATTTTGAACTTTTGCACAGGTATTACCACAACATTACATCAAATACCTTAGGGGTATTGGAGGCAATGGCTTCACATGGTGTGAAGACTTTGATATATTCTAGTACATGTGCAACATACGGAGAACCTGAGAAGATGCCTATTACTGAAGAAACTCTGCAGGTGGGTTGTCCTATACTTGTGTTTTTGTTTTACTTCCAATAAATAAACTCGTTTAGTTGCTGACTTTGATGTTCTGGCAACACTTTCAGCTCCCAATTAATCCATATGGAAAAGCAAAGAAGATGGCAGAAGATATCATCTTGGATTTTCATAAGAATTCAGACATGGCAGTCATGATCCTGAGGTTCGTGTCCCATTAAATTTTTTAAACCCTTTGTTGTTTTTTGAAATGTTTTTGACATAAACCATGAGTAACCTTGCTTCGTAACCACTTTTTCACTAATGTGTTTAAGTTATGTTAATTTGCAAGTGAAACATGAATCATTTGGCAATATTGTTGGGTCACCTTCAACTCTTCATAGCTTAAGTTCTGCTTTTCTACTAAACTATGTGGTGTTTGGACTTGGAACCTTAGCTCACCATGTGGGCTTTGGCTTAGTGGCAATGAATGTTAGGGTTTGGATGGAGATTTTCTAAAAATTTAAAACCTTTGTTCCATTTTCCAAGTTGGCTCTCTGCGCAAAGCTTTTTTCTTGCCTTTTTCACTAATAAGCCGGTATCTATATTAGTAATGGGTTCATCATCTCATTTCTATTTAAAAATTAATGAGCGCAAGAAAACCACAAGGCCACGTGATATTTTCTGTAAGGTCATTTGTTGTCCAACTGAATATTAGTACTATCATCTTTTGTGACCTGCATATGGTCCGTGTTATAACTTATGTCTACACTTGTATTATGCTGTGAGTCATTGGCCACAAAGGATGTACAACGAAATAAGGCATCACCGAACAATTTACTTTTAACAAATTTGATGAATGAATAAATTGTCCTGTTGTCTCAAAACTTGTTTTATTTTTGGAAACCTTCCAGATACTTCAATGTGATTGGGTCGGACCCAGAGGGTAGATTAGGTGAAGCTCCCAGACCTGAACTTCGTGAACATGGACGAATATCAGGTGCTTGTTTTGATGCAGCTCGTGGTATCACTCCTGGGCTAAAGGTAAGTCGTTGCATAATTAACTGATATGTCTGTGGTAAAGATCAAGGTATAGGTTTGACTATTGGAGTTATGATTATTCTTGTGTATTTATGAGTCAATTGAAAATTTTCATAACAATTCTCACCTGCCATAAGAGATAAGGAAACAGATGTTTGGGGTTTTAAAGAACATATATCTGTATATTTTGACGATTTCAGTTAGCCTCCTTGTTTCAGCTTTTTCCACTGTTCTTTTGAGTGGTTGGAATTTAGGAACGAAAGTGCTTTGCAGGTTCGAGGTACCGATTACAAAACATCTGATGGCACTTGCATAAGAGATTATATAGATGTCACTGATCTGGTTGATGCCCACGTTAAAGCTCTTGAGCATGCACATGCCCAGTAAAGTGGGAATCTACAATGTTGGAACTGGAAAAGGTAAAATAAACGAAACCAATACAACTAATTGCATTTCTTTTTGTGCTAAAATTTGTTGTAGTGGATAGCTCAGGAACTGTATCTTAAGCTTTGTGTGTGGCTGTCGATTACCAGGTAGTTCAGTAAAGGAGTTCGTGGAGGCATGTAAGAAGGCAACTGGTGTGGACATTAAGGTTGATTTCCTTCCCCGCCGGCCTGGTGACTATGCTGAAGTCTTCAGTGACCCATCTAAGATCCTCCGTGAACTGAACTGGAGCGCTCAACACACCAATCTTCAAGAGAGTTTGCAGGTTGCGTGGAGATGGCAAAAAGCGCATCGCGATGGGTACGGAACCACCCCGTTGGTGATGTCTTCTTGAACCAAAACCCTTTGGCGACGTCTTCTTGAAATGGTCACGGCATTGCATAGCATGAAGATCGACAGTGTATCCATTGCAGTGCCGAATCAAGCCACGCTTCTTTAGCTCAGTTAGATGGGGGACTTCAGAATCCCCATTAACCAAGAAGGATAAAAAAGAGAGTCGAGATGTTTGGGAACCAATATTAATTTTTTTTTTTTGGGCATATTTTATGTATTATTATGGTATAATTCTTTAGTAGTAGCAGGCCATCCTCCGGTGGCCGGAAAAAGGAGCAGCAGCTATGTGTTACAGTCGATGTATTCGGATGATGATATAGTTCAATAATGATGCTCAGCAGCAGTATAGCCTTTTATCATCATATTGTCGTGCCTTTCTTTCGTCCTTTGTCCAATACTAGTGCTAATCTGGAAGAGTTGAACATTTGACCTATCTTAATCTGTTGCTAGCCATATAAACAACAGCATGAAGTGATCGATAATTAGTATATTCCGTCTGCTTCAACAGATGTAACACCAACCTCCTCCGCTAATCCTTTCCTCCTCCGATTGAGTCCCCAAAGTATCTTAATATATAGGGACTTGCTGGATACTTCAAATGAATCTTTAAATATGAGGACTGGATATAGGGACTCAAAAAGTGGGCCCATTGTTGATTTTGAATGGGAAACAAATCTCATCCACGTGTGAATGCTGCACAACAGCTTCTCTTTTTTGTTTTGTTTCTTGTTTTTTAAACTCACCCACATGAATGCTAGAAGCCTTTCTTGTAACTTCCCTTTTTTCCCAACGGTAGAGGTAACTTTTTGGTGGATATCAACGTTCACAATACTCCAATAGAACAATAATTTTTTAATATTTTAGTCCCTACATTTAGGATTATACTATAAATAGTTCCCATTGCAAACAATATTTCTTCGCCGACCTGAATATTTCCTTAAAAGTCCCTAAATGAGTCTTCAAAGTTGGTGATAGGAGTCCCTATTTAGGGACTCCCATTGAAGATGCTCTTCAGCCCCTATAGTAGTTACATTCTAATTTTAAAATTTAGAAGTGCATAAGATGTTTAGTTTAATATCCCTCATCCTAATTGGATTTCCAAACATTCCCAAGCAACACTAATATATTTTCTTCTAGCCTTCCTATTTTTGCTAAGGACGTCTCGGATACTATTTAAACCTGGCTTTGTACTAGTTTTCGGTCGATCTTCCTCTCTTTGAGCCGTGAGTGCTTTCCGATCTGTGTCTCATGATCTTATCTCTAGCGTTCGGATCACTTACCGATCGCGTTTCTTGCTACGCAAGTGATCTCTACTTTTCCTCCAGTCGCGATCGTTCTGTTCTTCTCGGAACAATTTCGGATCACTTGCTGCTGCCTCCGGCGCTTCTCTTCGAAAGTTTTATGCTACAGGCCGGGATATGGTGGAAAAGTTGGCTCCGGATTGTGGTGATTGGGCTGGAACGCGTTACGCCAGTTGCGGCATGCATTACGAACTCGTTCGTCGATCGGAATCGGATGGCGAGACATGTTTTTGGGATGTTTCCGATGATAGACTGGTAGTCATGTTGGTTCTGCTCGTCGTCGTGGTTGAAAGGAGGAGTACGTACTAGCAAGCACTGCTGATGATATAATGTGTAAAGTATTTTTGTAACCAAAAAAATTATATTGTTTAAGGTAAATTTTAGCTTTTACTAGAAATAGATGCCCGCACGATGCCGCGGGTTTTTAAATTGTGTTAAACATGTGAAATATATTAAAATCTATTTACATCCATACAAAAATTTATTTACATATTTATGTTCAATAAGAAACAAAAGATGAGAGATTAGATGTCAAATGAATACATTGTGATGCTTATGAAATACCCTACACTAGTGATTCTTATTAGTAAAGAAGCATATGAGAAAGTGATATAGGTTTTCCAAATACCCCACATGATATGAAAAAGTGAATCTGTCCCAAAGCTTTGTAAAAACTATAACAAGATCTCTTCCAAGGACATGAATTATATCACTCACAATTGCTACAATTTTATTCAAATACAAACATGTATAATGCTTCCAGATTCAATTATCCAGAGACCAAATATTGGGAACTTTCGAATTATAAGCTCATTGGACATAATATCCCAACTATAGGCATAGGGAGATTCGAAATCACATGGGTATGAAAAGAGAAGCAAAAGAAAAAGCAAAAGCAGGAGAGTTCACTCACCCTAGGTGAATATGCTCGTCTACGTTTCCAAAAATTAGTCCGTCGCAGCTGCTAAATCCTTTTCAACTTTGTGCAAAAAAAATCTCTTTCATATGTTTACTTGAAGTGCTGATTTCAAATCGGTGATCCCTTTCTCACCCTGGTAACATTTAATAATTGCAATCAGTAAAATTTTATTGATGAGGGAAAAGAAAAAGGTAAGTAATAAGCAAAGTAGACAGACGTAATAGAGCAACGCAGAGAGAGAGAGAGAGAGAGAGAGAGAGATAGAGAGACTTAATGGTTTTATATGAAACTTGAATTCCTTTTAACTCTTAGCCTTCTAATAGTTGCAAGAAAAATTGAGGTTCACATGCTATGAACGTGCTATTGAGGTTTCATATAGAAAAAGGTCAGTTGTTTCTTATTTTCTATACTAATTATTGAATTTCGAAAGTATGAACAGTTGGGTTTTCTGGTTGCTTCATTAGATTTTTTTTAAAATATAAAGTACAAAAATATAAAGTGCAGGGAAGATAAACCACAAATCTTAATTAGCAAGGACTAAAATACGCATAAAAGCATTTGGAGTCAGGAAACGTCCATAGAAGAGAATGTGTGTGTTCTGTCACTCTTTGTTCATGTTTACCTCAACCACAGCCATAATTTGATTTTTCACACCCAATTTGATCAATTAAATGACTTTGCTTATTGGTATCCTCGAAAGATGTCATCGAAACCATCCCCATTATCAGAGAAATTAAAGAGGTAAAATCCATTGACTAATGATTACAGCATGGAATGTATGAAAACAACTAAAATTATTGACAAAAGATATAACAAAGATAAAAGAACTCCTGTAATTGGAAAACAAAACCCAATACACAGTGAATGATGATAAACACGTTACATAGTAAAAGAAAACTACCTCAACAAACCATTCATCCATCCACCACAAATACATCTAAAGAGTAGCCATTGGTTGTCGAGAAGACATGTGCTTCACAGATGTTAAGTCCTAATTTTGAAAGCAAGGAAGAAAGCTACAGAAAATGACATAAGTTAGAAAGATGCGACCATAGTATGGTTCTATGTACTTCTGCAGTTATCTTGAATCCTACAACATAAACAATGCATATAATATATGTATCAAATGCACTGAATACTCTACTGCTACCCTTAAATTCATTTTCCACTTATCTCAGAATTTGATATTAAACGAAAGAAATTATAATGAAGGCTATAGATTTATAACTTTATATTAAACGAAAGACATTATAATGACAAAGAACTTTCCAATACGTCTTTTGACAATTATATTTAAGGGGTGTGCTATCCACACACCCCAAATTACTTCTCACACATCCCTTGTTAATTTATGTCTATTGATCTTCTTTAATTCATCTGATTCGACGGCCGAAAATTAGAAAGGTGTGTGAGAAGTAAAATGGGGTATGTGGATATCACACCCCATATTTAATACCCAAACTTACTGTATTGAGGCACCATCGTGTTTACAATCTAGACTCTAGACACAAAAACATCCGATGGAGAACCATAAAACATAAATGATAGTCAACCACGGGAAATACAATTATAGAAGAACCAACACACTAATAGCATAAAATTAAGCATCCAACTCAAACTCAATCACTATGAGAGAAGTAGCAACTTTCGTAATTTCTTTTTCGGTACAAAGGAATGAACATCCTAATACATGGATAATGTTGTTTGGTAAACAACTTTCCTCTTCTGCTTCTTCAAAACTCAAAACTTTCACACTCGCTGAATCAAGTAAGCCTTGTTAATACCCTTTTGGAGTTTGATCTACCAGTTCTTTAATAATGCAAACAAAACTACATAGTTTTACAGACACAATCATATAACAAAAGTCTAGTGGTACATTACTCTGAAGTGGCTAGAGCTGAATGCAATACATCTTCTAGATAGTTCTCCACAGCAGCATATTGCCTTTTCTTGTCCTCAATTGCTAAAGCATCCAAAGCTTTATCCTGCACGAATACATATCTCATAAACCTCCCAATCTTTCTAGGACCTAAATAAAATTTGACCAATTAATCAAAGTAGAAAACTACTGGATGCTCAAAGTATCATGAACAGACTTTGTCTTCTCGTGTTTGGCCAATTCAACCAGCACCCGTGGCTAATCTCTGGGGTGTAGTCCATGCAACCAAGTTCTGTACATCACATTCAAAACCCCCCTCCCCCCAACAAACCCAGAACATTAATGAAAAAAAAAAATTTAATCCTTAAATTCAATTAGACAAAATCATGAATTTTTTTCTAAAGCCTAATTTTATTAAATCACAAATTCGAAACAGATTTAAACATGCAATACAACTATAAGATAAGAAATCCTTTTAGACTAACCTTGATGGTGGGCGTCGCCGGAATCGTTGGATTATCGTCGGAAAACTCGAATCCAATGTTGATGTGAAATTCAACATGGAAGGGTGAAGAAGAGGAATTTCAATTGGAAAGATTTGGAGCACAGTGGCTGCTTGGTGAGGAGAAGTCGCTCCAGAAGGTTTTCGAATGGAGTTTGGTGATGGGGAACTCTGAGTATCATTGGTTTCAAATGATCGGTGAAGGGGAGGAAATTGAGAGCGAGGGAGGGCTAGTTCGAAAGGGACAGAAATCCCCAACACTCAAAAGCTAAAAAAACCCAGAAATCCCTAAAAAACCCACAAATTCAAAACCACAAAAATCCAATCACCAAGATCGTTTAACATGAATCACGACCATCCAAACACAAACTATAGTTCATAACTATTGTACAGAATAGAACTCTTACCTGCAGATCCACCGCATCCTTGCGACTGCCAATACTGATCATGGGAATTGAAACAAAAGAGATAGAGAGATGGCAAAAGGCAAATACAGACACGGAGAGAGGAGAAAAGAAGAGGAAAGGGAAAATGAAAGATACTGAACACGAAAAGTGAAAGTGGAAGGTAAAGCAAGCAACCCAATCGAAAGAGAGAACCCAGCGATGATCAACGCGGGGATCAAATGGGCAAAACCGACTTTTGACTGTAGAAAAGTGAAAACAGCACAACAAGCAGAGAAGAAATCAGGGGCATCTCCATCCTTTTACTATTGCTGAACAGTGCCAAGCTCAATTGGCTTTTAGTGAGATAGAGAGATGGAAAAAGGCAAATACAGACGCGGAGAGAGAGGAGAAAAGAAGAGGAAAGGGAAAATGAAAGATGATGAACACGAAAAGTGAAAGTGGAAGGTAAAGCAAGCAACCCAGTCGAAAGAGAGAACCCAGCGATAATCAACGCGTGAATCAAATGGGCAAAACCGACTTTTGAATGTAGAAAAGTGAAAACAGCACGGTAAGTTGAGAAGAAATTAGGGGCATTTATGCCCTTTTACTATTGCTGAACAGTGCCGGGCTCAACTGGCTTTTAGTGAGATAGAGAGATGGAAAAAGGCAAATACAGACGCGGAGAGAGAGGAGAAAAGAAGAGGAAATGGAAAATGAAAGATGCTGAACACGAAAGGTGAAAGTGGAAGGTAAAGCAAGCAACCTAGTCGAAAGAGAGAACCCAGCGATGATCAATGTGCGGATCAAATGGGCAAAACCGACTTTTGACTGTAGAAAAGTGAAAACAGCATGGCAAGTTGAGAAGAAATTAGGGGCATTTCCACCCTTTTACTATTGCTAAACAGTGACGGGCTCAACTGGCTTTTAGTATATATAATTTAGCAAAGATATTCTGGATATCAGACCAAAAATATAAATAAAATATTATTGGATATCCAACTTCATATGTGTAATTTTTTTTGAACAAATGATATTATATACACTAAGGATGATGTTGACTTAGCCTCATAATGGGAGGAATATTGTGGTTCAAATTCGTCTTTGACGAGAATCGAACCTAGCACTTACAAATGAAGAAGAATACCACTAAATCGTAGTACTAAGTGGCTAACTTCACATAATTATTACTTATAGGTTTTTTATTTTTGAAACTTCAACACCCGTTTCAATTCCTACTTTATAAGAGAAATTATAATTTAAAGTCGAGAATATATCTCCATATAAGTGTCTCATGACACAAAAGATTTCACCCAAAGCATGTACCATAGCAAAACACGGTAAATTATAGGTCATGTTCCACCTTTTTTGAATTTTCAATTTGTGTCAATGTCCGGCTCATGATTATTTTTGACCTTTTTGTCAAGTTTGTGAATTTGGAGAACTGCTAATATGACACGAGTCCAACGTCACAGTAATGTTCTTTGCCAATGAAATAATAATTAACATGAGTATATTTTTATTCACATGTCCTTATTTCATTGAAGCAGTCACCAGATGCCATGTAAGTTGTTCTTTTAAATTTGATAAAAAAGATCGCTATTTTTTTTATTTATATTTTATCAGAACAGTAGTTAACTATATTTGTAGCAAGTTTTATTACAATAAATGATGAAAGAGCGTCTAATTCCCTTTTTAGTCTTCCTTGCTCTCAAAGAAACATCCCTACTACTTTCTTTTCCTACTCTTTCTGCGACTTAAGAGTCTAATTTCCCTTTTTAGTCTTCCTTGCTCTCAAAGAAACATCCCTACTACTTTCTTTTCCTACTTTTTCTGCGACTTAAGGGTGAGTATTTAAGCCTGTCTTTGTAATATACAGTTCGTGGTTGTCGTATTCTTTTTGAGCCGGAAAACCTTGTGAGAGGGTCAGTAGACGGCTTTCACCTCCCGTCTCAGAAGAATATCGGAGTTGCTGCAACCGTTGGCGTTCGTTTTTGCTGCATAATGTCGAACCCGATAACGTTAATCATCCGAACAGTGTTGAAAACTGCGTTTTACGTGATCAGGTTTGTGCTCTACAATGCTACGCTTTTAGGGCTGGATTTTATGGGGTGGCTCATTGGTTGGATGGTGAGGAATGTGCCTGCGTTCTGGATTATCGTGGCCCTCCTGCTCTTGGTCGTAGTTGGGAGGATATTAGTTATGGTTTTGAGCATCGCAACAGACGTGAGTTAAGCCACTTGATCCAAATAACATGACTGTTTAACAATGCTCAAACTCAAATTTTCCTTTTTATAGATTAGTAGAGTAATTTAGAATATTGTACGTAAAAAAAGAAACGATTGAGTAGAGAAGATTATGTGCTTCATGTTTGTTTTTCCAATATGTGATATCAAGCGATTAACCAAAGGTTTAATTTGGATTTGATGTTTTTATTTATTTTTCTCCGTAATTGTACTTCCACACCCGTTCCCTTTGTTTTTTGGTTCTCTTGGTTTACTACACCCGTTCCCTTCGTTTTTTGGATCTCTTGGTTTATTTTCTCGGATTTTATAGCCAAAGTATGTGTGTGAAGATGTGAAAAAACCTACGACCACATCATTCATAGGCACCTTACATAAAAGGATGAGATGCTATGTAGTTTGGTCCCAACCCGCCGTAATAGTTTCTCTAATTAAGTAGCTCTACAAAACCTAAATACGGATGCCATCATTCATAGAGCATCTTTCACAAAAAAAGGACACTTTGTATTTTGGTCTCACTTAATATGACAGTTGCCCTAATCAAACATGATCGTAATTTCTCATGAAAATATAATATTTGTACTTTAAAACTATTCTTTTACATAGTTTATATGTGTAGCACATTGTTTCTACCATGAAAAAAATATTTGAAATTGTTAATACTTAATAGTTAAACAATAATCAAGTCACTAATGAAAGGCTTGGCACAAAACCAAACACAGTGACATTCTAGAATTCATATAACCGACCCCACTTAATGAGATAAGACTTGGTTGTTATTTAACAATAATCAACTCATAAATGTGGATTTTATGGCAAGATTACTGTTTTATCTTTTGAATGCTAACCAAAAGGTTACTGTAATGTACAAAATCACACTCTTGGGAAAAAAAGCAGAAAGCAAGTGCAATTAATCACAAACTTGGACTCCATATCGTTGAAATATCAAGCAACCAAACCCAAAGATTTGACCTGTGTCTATTAAATACATCTTTTCAGTTGAATTTATATCTTCTCAGTTTACAAATCAAAAGATGAGCCGTCGCGAAAGATGTAAGGAGCATATAATAGCACTAATCGGCTCTTGTGTACAAACCACTTCTGAGGTTTCAACCAACTGCTTGAAGAGCTGGTTAATGTTCTGTTCTGCCTCCGCGGCCCTTTTGACGAGCAAGTGATTTGGGTGCCCAATTTTCAACTGGCTGAAAAACAGTAAAACATTCAATCACTGACCATTATATTCTACAGTTGCACACGATATGGGGCAAATATAAATAATTCCAGTGTTATGAAATTATGAAATAACACAATTTATGGGTGACGTAAAAAGACATTGTGTCACAACGGCAGTATGAAGTAGCCTTTGAGATTTACCTAAGGAAACGAGAAGATGGTTTTCCTAGGTGAAGACAGCATACAACAAGGTTGGCTAGAGTTTCTGGATCCTTTGCATCCTGTGGCAGAACAAAATGGCACTTTTATTACTCTAAAAATGTCTTAAAAGAAATATGCGTAATCCTATGCCGCTCCATATAGGTTGGCAATATGAGAATGCTCATGTGTATTAATAGACCATTACAACAATACAAGATTTCTGAGTAAACGGGAAAGTAGATGAACATGGAGAGATAAATATAGGGAAACAAGAAAAGCAGAAAAATGCAACAAATAACGTACAAGTATACAACTCATTGTTTATTAATTCCAGCAAAAATAGTCATTTTGATTTAGTCAGATTTGAGTTGAGCATGCATAATGATGTAATCATGTAATATTGTTTAGTAAGCCTTCGACTTTGTGAAGTTTTTCTAATTGACGGGATACAAACTGTAGACACCTTAAAAGCTCTAGAAAAGCCACCAATATATTACTTGGTACTTGCCTTTTGCAGTGCTTCAAGAAGTAGTGTTTCGGCTTCATCAAAGTTTCCCATATGCATACAGCAAACAGCCTTTCCATTGAGGATCAAACTCGTAGCCTGAGACTTCTCAGAGAAATCTTGGAAGATGAGATATGCCTCCTGTATCTTGGAACCACCCTGATTTCGAAGAATGTGAAATTACATACATGAACTATGATATCTAGTATTTAAGGGCAACTGAAAGGAAGACAAATATTTAATTACCACTGCCAGATTTAACCATGCCATTGCAAGTTGAGTTAGTGTGTGGTCCTCGTCAACCTGTTGCATGAGCCGCAGCTGTCTCTCCGCGTAATCTGACCTATGCATTTTAAGGAATATCTGGATATTCAATGCATTCCTGCAAAAGCATAAGCAGCATGTATCAGGCTTAAGAAAATAACACATCATCAGGTTCAGCTTTCTGCTTCACACTTAAATATCATTAGCCTCGGTATAAATTACATCAAAGATTAAATTTGACATCAATAAAGACACTACCCAACAGAAGGCTCGCATAAGCCATCTAGAATTTACAAGCATGCAAGGGCAATTGGTTTCTATACTTCACATATTAGCGACCCTAGAGTTTGTTTCAATTTATAAATTTATTTTCTTAACATTTTAATGGGTTTTCCATTACTTAATAGATCCCTCTAATTAACTTCTTTGCTCAATCCAATGAACATCGATATAATCACTAATCAAGCTAAAGACACTAAAATCTGAAGCATTTCGGGTGTGTCCCGTTCGAAAGATAACAACAATGCAGAGCCTCAGAGAAAATCTAACTAACAGTAAAGTTACCAAGTTTGATCATAGCGTTTAATCAGAACATGATCTTAAGTAAAATCAGAATACGAAAATGCTCAAGTGATCAGGTAAAGTGAAAAGATTGACGTACATTTCCATAGTGCCTCCGGAATTGGTGTATTTGAGAGCTTCATTGTAGTCCTGCTCATGCATGAAAACCGTCCCAGCAATCAGCCTCAGAGTAGGGTTGTTTCCGACGGCCGGATCCGCCAACAACTCCTTCAAATTCGAGATCGCCGATTCCTGCACAATTCCAAGCCTTCCAATTCATCACACATCCAATCCAATTCAATCCGATTCGATTCAACAGTATGTGATATCGGGATCGAAATTCAAAATTGAAGACAGTACCTTGAAATCGGGGCCGGAGAGGTAGAGGGCGAGGAGCTTGACGGCCTGAAGAGGCGTGGCGGCGGATGCGTCGATCTCAGTGATGACGAGCTGGTAGCTGCCGAGGGCGATGTAAGAGCGGAAGACGAGGCAGTCGCGCTCGACGGCGTCGTCAGGGGAGAGGTTGGGGAGGTCGCTGTTGTTAATGGCGGCCTGGTAGGCACCCAAGTAGAAGTTGTTGCGGAGGTTGAAGAGGTGGTCCGGTCCTGCTGCCACTGCTGCCATTGTTGAGAGATTTCGATTTGGTATTTTGCAGTTGCAGATCTGAGAGAGAAGCGTGGAGGACGAAGGGTATAGAGGGCCGATTATTATAACGTTTTATGTATTTTCAATGATGGATTTAATTCCTATCTTGGGCCAACCCAAAACTCTCTTTCGCTCTTGTTGTTCCCGAGGCTTTTTCAATGCGTGAACACATGGTTTGATATACAAGTGTTATAATTAAGGGAAAATTCTTTTTCTAGAAATTTTAGAGATCCCGTGATCTTACTCGTTCATCATATATTGTGCTGTCAGAAATTATTTCAAAATTTAAAATTAAATATAAATAATACTTAACGAAAACTTATCGCACGATATACGATGAACGGGTGAGATCACGGTATCCCTAGGAAAAGGATTCGGAGAGGATCCTTTTCCATAATTAAGTAGTTAGAAATTTCTTTTTTTAAAGTATTCAAGCATTTGTATAGCACATTGTATACCGAGTCGTGTTCCTCGCACATCGAAAATTTTCTCAGTTGTCCAAGTACTAAGAACACAAGCTCTTTTATCATGTGTCATGATATTAGTGGAGATTTTAAGTGTCCCTCTATTTGTATTATGACATGTACTGATATTTTGGATATACTGCAAAATCTCTTCAACTGACATCCCCAATTTATGAATCAATCATAATTAAATATCAAACTCATTATTTACAAGAGTTCAACGTGAGACGTTGTAGTAGCAAATTTTCTTTTATTTATGGGTACTTCCTATACATTATATTTCTCTTTCAAATTCAAAGCATCAATCATGATTTCTTTAACTCAGCAAGTTGTAGTACCCCTTCTATGAAAATTTTAGTAAGATTACCAATTACGATTCACCTTTAAATTTCGCCACTTATTCCGTCATCAACGTACACAATCTTAAAGTAAATTTGGGATGATTGCATTGATTTGTCAATGAATTGGGTAAGTACTAAAATGCTTTTGTGACTGTGTGACAGTCGCACACAAAAGTTTCTCACTTCAGTATACATAAAGGTTAGGTTGATTGGAGTTTACAATACACGAATCACTTATTAAGTTGATGCAGAAGAATCATTCAAATTCAAATACATGATGATTTCACGGCACACACAAGCAATACATTTTGACACAGTAAAAGGGACTATATTATCAATGCAGTTCTAATTTCTTTTGAGTAGTTTGATGATGGACAGCACTGTTATAACCAGCAAAAAGAGGAGTCCGATGTAGGAAGAGATGATGGCACCGCCGCCACGGTCGCAGTACTTCTCGAACTTGTCACAGATTTTGTTCCACCTTGCGTGCGAGTTTCCCTTCTTCCCTAGCTCTGCCATGAAGGTTGCTGCACCATCGCCCGAAGATACTAGGGCCACAATCATCTGCATTCCACAACCAAAAATATACAGTTTAGTTGACATAGTTACCCTGCGTTCGATTCTTCCCGACCTCGAATATCGCTTGTACTAAAAGAAATAATCGTTTGCTTACCATGTCTAAAACGGCTACCATCACAAGTTGAAGGCCCTTGTCCTTGAACTTGTCTCCGAAAAAGTGCACAACTATCATGAACACGTTATGAAGGCTTGCAATTCCATTAGCTATCACAAAGTACCTGCATCATCATCAATCGCGAAAACCGTCGCTTGGGTCCTCTAATTTCTGTTTGTATGGGAGGTAGAAAGAAAAAGAGAGTACCGAGGCTTACACATTTGCAGGATTGTGCTGAAACTTGGCTGTGAGAGTGACGCTTATTGGTGGGGCAACCACCAAGGACTTGGTTTCTTTGTTGCTTGCCATTACAACGGTTGCAGTCACCGTGGCAAAAAACGCAACCACCCTCAGTACGACAATAGTCCAGTCCGTCGGCTTCGTCACCGCCGCTAACTCCGCCTTATCCTCGGGTTTCTGTCCATTTTCTAGAGCCATGGTTGAATTAGAGAGAGAGAGAGAGCGATATACAAAAGTGAGTGCTTTGTTGCTTCTTATAGCGGCAGAACCAGTTGCTGAGTAAGTGAAGCATGTAATTAGTTTTCTTTGATTAGACTAACAATCCAATAACTTCAGGGTTTGTTGGGTTTAGGTAGTTTGGATAAACTTTTTAACCCCACACGCATCGTTTAATCTGCCCCTGCTTATGTCACCCAGAATTTCTAGACACATTGGCTCAACAAACGTAGAGCTACCTTGCTTTAATCTTTTTCTTTCTTCGTTGCACAACCGCATCAGCAATTTTGACAATCTTGTCTCTCAATTCTTCTCTGCATCGTTAGCTTTTATTATTATCAAAAGAAAGAAGACGTGGGGCTCTAACTGTACAAATCCATACTTCTTCGAATACTGGTTTCCCCTCTTCCAACTACGTAAACAGATCGTACACACTCACATCTAATCAAAAGACGCGCATATTTGGAATCAGGAAAAGCCTGATGCTTTTAGGTAGGCCTGACAAACGAGTCGTATTTGTCGTGTCAAATCCATTATCTGAATGAGTTCTTAACAAGTGACCCCCAACAATGATCTAATTCGTTAACAAGTCGTATCATTTTGTGTCGGATTAACGAGTCATGCAAGAAGTAGTCATACCTAATGTCTAGATATGGCAAACGGTATCTCATTAGGTTCTTAACGTGTGACCCGATAACAAACCGACTCGTTAACAAAGTGATCCAAAACCTACTATTTTCGTATCATTTCATATCAAGTTAACGAGTCGTGTAAAAATTTGACAAACCAACTTTCAGGTTTTTGAGGGGTTTAGTGGGTTTGTCGTGTGTATCAGATTATCCGGATGCTGAGAACGAGGAATCGCCAGCTACGAAAATATGAGGCAAAAATCTGCCAACCTTGAACAGAAAGGCAAATGCCAAGCACTAGGGAATAATACTTCTACCGACGATCAACCGACTACGTTCAGAATTGCACAGAAGCAGGCCATCATCATCAAACGAAAAAACATAGATTGTTTACATACATTACAAATTTGTGATAACTGGATTTGTAGTTCAAAAACGTACACTCTATGCGCAGTGACTCGACTAAACTTGGGACACACGGCACGGGTGAGATAGCAATCACAAGAATGACAGCAATACCCTCGCTCGCCGCGTCAAGTCTATTTGGTAGATAATTTGGTAGATAATACATTTATCCGACGCCTCACATTTGAAATGTTTCTCGCACACATGTTTATGAACGACTCACAATAAAAATATACAACCAATGTCGATCGTGTCTATCTTCCAAGTAATCTGTAATAAGGATTTGATTTGTTCCGTGCGAAGTAAAACTAGCTGCAATAGATTTCAGAATCACGTTGTGCTAGTTTTTCCCCGTGTGACACCAACAACGACATTGCTCACCTGTGAGATTAACAGTGTTATCATCACTAGGTCTTTGATTGCTCAAAATATGGAAAACAATGGCAATGAACGGATGCATTATTTAACAAGCTTACCAATTTGCCACTTTCATCAACAGACATAGGGTTCTCAACGACAACGGTCTGGCTCTGAGAATACAAGAGAAATAAATTCAACAGATTCACTACGCATAATACATTACTACCACAAGGGCAGTCTCATCCGGGACATATAAATAGCATGCTTCTCAGAACTTACCGCTGAAGTAGAGGGCACCATTCCTGAATTGGCCGTCCCATTAGGTCTGTGCGCTGGAATTGGAACCCTCATATTGGCCATCTGTATAATGTTCAAACCAACACTCAATTAGTGAGTTCATTTGCAAAGAGGATGGTTTTCAACATGAAAGAACAATTTATATCCAACCACTCGGTCATTAAGAAGATTCTTAACATTTAGCGAGTCTATAACACCAAAATTAAAGCATGATTTAGAACATTTAATGCACCCAGAATTCATAAGCTATAATAACATAGAATATTGAGTGACAATGACATGCCAAGGTTCAAAAATTTCATCCATACTTACCCCAGCATTAGTAACAAAGTGACAGACTGCACATTTGACCGAAGGAGCTCCAAATGGATACATAAGCGTTGTCCGGCAGTTTCCACAGTTGATGTGGGCGACCTGACTGGATGCTTTTTTTCACAAAAAATAAGACCCAAAAGAGAGGAGAAGTCAATAAGAAGCTGAGGAAGTGAAACAGTTATCAAACATAGAATAAGCTGTACATATGCAATTACAATATAAGCTGGTTCTGTCAAATTTTTAAGATATTTCCGAATACCACTGGACACACATTTCGGTAAGTAATTTCCAAAAGAACAGAAATATCAAACTCTGATATTTACTGGAAATATTCCTGCCATGTGTACTATTAAAAGGAACAAAAATTAACAGCAATACTATGTACAGGGAAGAATTCCTTATGGTCTTTCAATTAATACAAAGACATGATAATGAAACCAATGAAGTTTCGAAATCTCTACTTTTAATATCCTCATAGAGTAGGTGAAACCTACTTCCTTCAAAATAACAATCTTAGAGTTTTTCTTTATCCATTACGTAAGACTGTAAGAGTGAAGTCCTTTTAAGTTAGTAAACCAAAAATAATCTAGAACCTTCCAAAAAGAAGCATATGAAAAAGATGAGTTTTTGGGAGTTGCCTATACGTTGCAGAACAGATCCACACATGCATGGGACACAGGTGATAAACTGAAAAACCTCTACAGTATCATGGATTACGTCCATACCCTAAGATTGTTTACCTTGAGAAACATTAGGATGCATATCACCTTCCACTATGTGGTAGATTACAAGAGCGAAGATTACAAGCCTTAACAAATAAAACTTCATTTTTTATTCAAGTAAGCTTATATAGTACCTGGAGCAAGATTTACTGTGTGACAACAGGAGCACCTCACACTTGTTGCCCCACGCGTATGCATTAGCAACGTCCTACAACCCCCACAAATAAGTTGAGCCATTTCCGTCCCTGCGAGGTCATTGCACAAACGTTTTGTAACCTAACCTTATGACTCTACAATGAAATGCTTATTAGGTTAGACAAGTCTATCAGTCTCTGATCCTATAATGATAACCATTAAGAAAAAGTATAAGGTAAAGAGACATTACCAGGAGCAGGGACTGGGGTGATTGTATTGCATAATGCACAGCATACATTTGTAGCTCCTCTAGGATATAGAAGAATGCTCCTACACCCACTACACACAAGCTGGCTCTGCATAGCTGCAATTTTTAGAAACATACAAACACAATGAGGCTTTACCAACAGAATCAAGTATGACCAGAGCAGACAATATCACTGCACAACTTGAATCTTTTACCATATGGCCAATATGCTACACAGTGTTCTACGCCATAACAAATTCTAAATAAACTTTTGAAACATGAAACTGTAAACTTGAATATATCTATTACTGTTTTAGCAACGATGGGTAAAGAGGTAAGAGAGATGATGAAGACAAATCCTAAAGCGTACCCAAAGTAAGTTTTTCTTCACTTTCAAAACCAGATAATACATTTTAGAAGAACACATCATGGCAACAAGACTGAACTAACTTTCTTTGTGAAATCTAGCTCCTTCAGGTCTTCCCAACATCCAACCAATCTTGACAACATCAGTTCTTCAAAGACAGAGATTGTCAATCCTAACACTCAAAAACATGCCAACACTTCTACTTGTAGAAATGATAGAAACCCCTATATACAGAATAAGGTCCCCATACTTGATGCAGGACAATTACCTAAAGAAGTCGGGCCTAGGCAATGAAGTAAGCAATTGCATCATTCATGGACACAAGACATGGCATAAAGACAAAAATTATTGAGGCAAACAATCATACCCACTGGTGTGGATATCTATCAAGGAGAAACTACTTTGTGTTTCATGACTCCAATATCCCAGCATTATTGTACATGCGAAAATTAATGTGTTAAAGGCAGTTTATTTCCTGGTTGGTAATTTTTGAATAAATCTTAAGAGATTGCTACCTTGTTTGTTACATTGCTTCCACCATTTCCTAACCAATAACGCAAGATAAATTTCTTAAAGCAAGTTATCTTTTGTGATTGATTAGGAAAATAAAAGGACAAATGCATATAACTAGTTAACTGCATTAAACTACAAAGGGAACATCAATAGGTTCAGAAGATTTCAGAATAACCAGCGACTCTTCCTCCTACTTTATAGATATATAGGCTAACTGCCTAAGTAAGTCATAGTTTTTTGTTTCATATGTTTTCTGTCGGTTAAGTTAAATTGAACTCAAGGTTAAAATGAGTAAACATGAAATACAGACAAGAAATACCATAAATCAAATCTATACAAAAGCTCAGCCAAATGAAACGAATCATCAACTTTCGTGGTCACAATATAAGATCAAAATTGAATAAGTTTCTGACCACTCAAGTCTCAAACTTATCAGGTTCACAGGAAGGGAAAAACTGTATTAACTAATCAGAGCTACAGGTTTCTTCATTGTGCTGTTCCAGCGACTCAGCCTCCTTGCTACTGGCATGGTTCCTTGGCTTAGAGTCATCATTAAACAGGCCATGACGCCCCAAAACGACAAGATCCAGAAGCCTTCTCCTTGCATTATAAACCAGATTTGGGTGAATCAAACAACCCCTCTCATAAGCTTCTCTTAGGAAAACAGTGTGTCTCTTTCCCTTGGTTGACAAATAAAACATCCCGGGGTGATCCAAGAATAAATCTCTGATATTCAAATCAAAGCCAAAACATTTCCTAAAATGGCTGATTTTCTCCACTTCAACTATCTTCTCAACTGTCAAATTCAAGAATTCATGAACAATTGAAACTGCCCGTTTCTCCACAGCCATCATTTCGGCCTTAGACGACCTCTTCTTCTCTGCCATCTCATCATATGGCCCCACATATGGCAACCTCTGCCACTCCTTAACCTTGGCTCTAAAATTCTTTCTTAACTTCATCCCAGGAGGATATCCGTGTTTAAAACTAAACTGAATTTCAGCCCTATCAACACTGCTACCCTCCTTGCAGTATTCCTCTACCCTCCAATTTTCAACTGCTGCAGTGAACTTGTCAGAAGTTACATTAACCAGTTTCAGTTATGAGTATTGGGTTCATGAGCATCACAAAGTTGGAAAAGATGGGGTTTTTATCTATTACCGAGTTCTCAAAATCATCGGGAAGCCCAAGTTCCCTGCCAACTTTAAAAATGGCACGGAGTGGCAACATCTTGGAAGTAGACATTGATAGAAGCCGAACCAATCGATCAACAACAAGTGGCAAAGAGGCGTTGATAGCCTCTGCTTCGTCTTTAGAAATTTGAGCAGCTCTGTCAGTTAATCTGCAGAAGGTCTGGGACTTCATGGGAACATGGTAAATGTGGAAAATGTGAGGGTATTTGCGGAGGAAGGCGACTGCACCACGGTTGAGATGGAGCTTTTGGGAGAGCTTGGAGAGGAAATCAAGGGACACTGCAGGGTCGTGGGGGTTTGCAAGGATGAGATCTTGGACAGCAATGACTTTGAGAAGGTTCTTGTACTTGTCCATTAGTTTCTCAAACGTGGCATCTCTGGCTCTTGATGCTACATACTCAGATGAGGTTGTTTTATACCGGACAGCCAAAAAATGTTGGCGGGGCTGTTTCATCATCCATCTGGTAAATTGGGTTCCCATCTGAACTCAAAGAGATATTCCTATATGTTTCAGGCACAATCCGCCTCCTACAATCTACGCGTAAACTGAAGCAGAAGCATATCAAGTCTTCAGCCAAATAAACACAAACATTGACGAACAAGCGGGTTCTATATAACAAGATCAAAACCTGAATAAGTTCTGGCAGGTAAAATCCCAAACCTAATGCCGAGACCCAATACGAAACACAGAGGAACTAAACCATAACAAATACATTGAAAAACGAAAATAAGCAGCAAATCCCTAACACGCTTGCAAGCAATTGAGAAAAAAGCAGCCTCTTAAACCAACCACCAAATTCAAATTAACATTTATTTCCATAAAAGAAGTAAAATTGGATCAAAAGATACCTGATTTCGTTAACAAAGTTCAAATTCCACGACCCCTCGAGCAATTGGAGCTGTAATTCGACGGTAATCGGATTGCTGAATCCAAACAAAGATATTCAATCAATCCAAGTCAACGAAATAATTTATTCAAAAAACAAAACAAAAAAAACCCAAATAAAATGAATACCGGGGTCGAGGAAAGGTAAAATCTGAGACCAAAAAAATGAAACTTTTGGGGTTTTTGTTTGGAATGAGATGCAAAACGCGGAATCGGGTCGAAAGAAAGACGCGGGCTTTGTGGATTGGGAATTTGGGAGGATGTGAAAAGGAAATGTGGAAGAGGTTTGGTTCGATGTTGAAATTCTTTGCGTTTGTGATATCGCTGATTGACGATGTGGAAATAATGGGTTGGAATTTTGGATATATGGGATTCCGGAGAGATACTTTTCAACGGACAACCTTTTTTTTTTTTTGTTCTGTTGTAACATCGACAGCTCGGTTCTAATCGCCCAATGTCCCGCTTCCCTCTAGGAGTGAGAAAATAGGGTCCAAGGCTCCAGTGGGTCGAAATTATGGTTTATGGGTCGGGTTTGTGTCATGAATATTAAACGACCAATGTTAAATGAACAGAGCATAATATTAGAAAATTTTGAAAAGAGAGATTATATTCACACATATCAAATTACTTTTCTCACATTTTTTTAATTTTTTAATATTTTCTACACACCACTAATACTTGATAGAAAAATATTAAACAATTAAAAAAGTGTGGGATAAGTAATTTTGGGTGTGTGAATATAATGTCCCTTTTGAAAATTGGTTCAAGGAAAATGTTCAACATTGCGTTTCTAAGACAATTTTATGCCCCATTATAGTGATCTTGGTTATCAACGTTTACCTCTTAGGATGCAACGACCACATTCTTGTAATAGTCACCCCAAATCACAAGACTCCAATGAACCACAATTGTGTCGAACACTTTCTCATATGGACCCAGTGAGACATTCTAATATAATTTTGTCCACTATATCATGGGTATAGTGAATATCATAAAACGAGGAATGACTACAAAGGGACTGATTGGCTATTAATAAAAGTTAAGATGCATATTTTAAAAACATGTGATTATTCGTGAAAAGTTAAAAATTTCAACCATTCATTTGAGCTTCAATTTTAGTCAGAACACATGTAAAGAATAAAGTGGAAGAGGTGAAGTGAGATTTTGTGTAAAGTACAGAGAACTATGCTATAAATGCCTCTATGATCGATGAGAGAAAATGGTGTTTTGCCCTACGAATAAGTAAGAGTGCAAACATGCGGGATACAAATTCATTTTTATGAATAATGTTAGAGACCATATTTTTGTACCACATTAGTATATCACATGGTGTAAAAAATGATGTATATGACTAAGAAAATATTAGGAAGATCATATGTTTGTACCTGGTTTACGATCTGATGTTTCAAGTGATGTGTACATATCGTGTTAATTAATAAGTTTATTTTGTTGGATATTGATTATATGAGTCATTTGCCACGTATAGAAATGGTGGCTTTTAGGAATGGAAAACCTTCTCCTAGTAGCGTAGCTTCAATCTTGGGTAATGAGTACTTTCAAGCTAACAATGAAAATAAGTTTGGCTAGTAATCAGAAGCGGAAAATTAGGTGGGGACCCCACGACGAGGGCAGCTGAAGATCAATTTTGATGAGAGAGGATCTCCTGAAGATCCTCCAATCATATCCGTTCATTGTATATTGTGTGGTCAGTTTTCATCCGGTACTGTTTATATTTAATTTTAAAGAAAAAAATTTACAATGATTTTTTACTACACGATATACAATGAATAGATGTGATTGGATCTCCAGGATCCTCATAAAAGGACGAGGATATTCTCTCAATTTTGATGGAGGGGTCATTAATTCCAAGCAACGGCTGGCTTTGTAATCAGAAATGAGGATGGCTTGCCAATTTTGTTGGAGCTCGGAGCCTTGGAGAGAACAACATCTTCATTGCGAAAGTCTTGGCCTTGAGGAATACCCTTTAGTTGGCCAAAGGAAGAAGGTAAGAAAGTTTATGTGGATAGTGATTCAAAACCCGTGATTGATGCAATCAAAGGGTTTTGCGCAACTCCTTAGCGATTGAGAAACATCATTGAAGACATCAATTGGTTGTCATCTGTTTTCGATACTATTGTTTGAAGTCATGTCTACAGAGAAATGAACTTCTTGGCAGTTGCAATCACTAATACAGAATTTAATTTTAACAATTTTCATGTTTGAGATAGATCTCTGTTGTCTGTGGCTAGAAACGCCTTTCACATTGATTGTGTTGGAACTGGTTGCGACCGTGATCACTATCAATTAATTTTCTTATAAAAAATAATTAAATAATTGTATTGTGAAGATGTGACACTCCATCAATTAATTATTAAGATGTTCCCCTATTTGTACCTCATAGAAGAAAAAAAAGGACACGATGTTCTCTTTCTCAAAATCTTTTGTTCTTTCTGAAGTGCGACTTATGTGTGGCAAGATAGGGGCTTGTTGAAACTTGTGGTCAATGTGGTATCTAGTTAAATTAATCATAAATATTTGCACATCTTTTAAAAGAGATTCTAGATCGGTTGGAGACCACACTGATTTCAAGTCCTAAAAACCTACATGCATATATAAAGTGTCCTAAACTCATGACCCCTTCATTTCATGCTCTGGTTTCGTTATGAAAAAAAAATAAGCTTGGCAATCCTCCATTTTCTTTGTTCGTAAACCCTAAGTCTTGGTGCCAATTTTTTTTTTTTTTCCTATTTTTTTGTGCGACCACTCCTCGATGACAAGTTCATCAAAGATTTGTTTTAAAGATTGCATATGGGACTGGAGAGACAGTTAAATTGTATAACATACACAAACAAGTCCATTTTGTTGTTAGTGGTTAGAAATATTTGAGGTTTGGTGGAGAAAATGGGATTGTTTGGGGTTGTCTGGGAGTCTTTGATTGGGTTTAAGAAAGATTTCCGTGTAGATTGAATAAAGCCTATAGTTATGTCAAATTTCGTTGATTTGCATAGGCCGGAATTGGTTTGGATATATGGTGCCTAGACGTGGTTTGGATAATTTGGATAGCTAAAGATCAAACCATGGCTAATTTTGATAAATAAGAAAACTCTTTGATGATGTTGAGAAGTGAAAGCTTTAAATCGATCATTCCTCCAATATGTTTAATTGCTACCAATATCTCATGTATTTAAGTGTATTTGTGAGTTGAGTATGATCATTAAAGATTGTTGTTTAAACAATTGGTGGGCACATGTTACTATCACAACCAATCAATGAAATCATATATCATGTTATTTTTTATTTATTTATTTTGTGGCAACACTCTGCATGCCACACATATTGCATGTTGAAAAATTAGGTCTAATTGTTACAAAATCTCATAGAAAATTTATGAAATCAAATATGCAATTAAGTAGACAGTTAGTTGCATAGTCACAATCAAATACAATGTTAATGCACACAAACATGAGCTAGAAAACTTTAAAAATTAAGTTAAGGTAAGCGTTCGACACTCTGACTCCACACATATTGAATATTGAAAAATTAGGTCTAATTGTTACAAAATCTCATAGAAAATTTATGAAATCAATTATGCAATTAAGTAGACACTTAGTTGCATAGTCACAATCAAATACAATGTTAATTCACACAAACATGAGCTAGAAAAACGCTCTGACTCAAGACTCGCTCTTTGAAAAAAAAAATCCTACAATTCAAAGGGCTCTTTTAAAATGAATTATGTAAGAACCCTCTTAGACCATTGAGTATTCTAAAACTCAAACTTGTTGGAACTTATTTGGATTTTACTAATTATAATTAAGGTTAATTATCCATATCAGACACTAGAGTTCAGTTAGGAGTTAATGACTTGGTTGAATCTCCTATAATGTAGGACCATAAGGATTACGTGATGAAGTAGAGAAACACCCCATGATCGAAAGACAAGCGTAATGCTTGCAGTTATCAAACTGCCATCCTTAATGGGAGGAGGCAGTTATGATGAGATGTCTGTAGATGTCTATATATACTTGGTCCCTGCTCAAGGAAAGTTGGTTCCATTTTCTGAGCTAAAATCTAGATCCATTACTAGAAGAGAACATAAGGTTTCCATTGAGTACAAGATCAAAGTAAGAGGCTTTAATCTGTGTAATGGCTTCTTCAGGTAAAATCCTAAACTACTACTAACACCGGTTCATAAAAATACCACGTGTGCATGTCGCCAAAACCTTGTAGCATTAACCCTAGGTTTTATTAAAGTTTACAAAACTTGGATTCTCTCCCCTTCTTTTTGTATGCGCTCCTATACCTTGCTTCTAATCCAAAACCCTTTGAAAGATATATGATGGTTTATGACGGTGCAAATTGAACTTAGACCTTGAGTATAACCATTTGAGTTATATAAATGTCAACTTATCATTAGAAGGACCAAAAAAGAAGAGGAAGTTGACGCCTAAAGAAGGGGAGAATAGGCTCAAATGTGAAGTAAATTTTAGCATGACGGTCACCGTTATGTGATATTACAAATGCATATAATGCACATACCTATTTTATTGAATTGTATACCTTAAGTCAATGATATATCAACTCAATCGTTTATCTATGTTTTATTTTTAATGAAATTTATGATCAAACCGACCAACCAAGTTCATCATGTCAAGGGATGCTCCTAATAAGCGAGCTCATATCAAGTAGTAGCATTACGTGTGAATCTGACGATAAATTTAAAGAATTCCACTTATATATGTGTGAGAAATGATTTCCTCACATCTATTTTTTTTATTTACACACTCTTATTTATATTTTTGCTTATGTCGGCTAAATAAAATCTGTATAAATATAAAGTTTTTTTGTTATCCATCCTCCAATTTTCATCCCCTTCTATGGAAAAGCATCCATTGGGATGGAGCGAAAGGGAGAGGGAGATAAATGTGAAGATGGGGACAAATGGCTGCCAATCCAGTCAACGTTTCATGTGGCATCAGCTCCAACTCCAACTTTGCCTCCGGCCACCGATTTGCGTTAATTTTTTATTTTTTTAAATACGTAAAAGAATTATGAAAATTAAAAAAACATGAAAAATAAATAAACAAATTTTTCTTTCCTTTTCGTATTAGTATTTAGGTCGGTCCTAATTCCTTTTTCAAGTAGGATTTCCTTATTCCACTCCCCCACCGTCATTTCTTTGTTACTATATATTAATATTGATCTTTCAATATTGTTACAGAAACAATTAGTGTACATATATATACATATACATATACATATACATAAGTTACTATCACAATCAATCGATGAAATCATGTATCATGTTAAAATATCATGTTAAAATTTCGCAAGATCAATCCTGTATGCCACACATATGGCATGTTGAAAAATTATTATTATATTTTTTTTGAACAATTGATATTATCTACATTAAGGGTAGGGGGTGAGTTTAGCCTCATAATGTGCTAGCACTAATATGGTTTAAATTCGCTTTGACGAGAATCGGACATAAGACCTCTCACTAGACCGTAGTACTAAGTAGCAAAAAAAAAAAAAAAAAAGTTAACTGTTATAAAATCACATAGAAAATTTATGAAATCAATTATGCAATAAAGTAGACAGTTAGTTGCATTGCATGGTCATAATCAACTAATTTTGGATAAATCATGTAATTTAAGGTATGTGTAGAGGTATAGATAAATTAATTTTCATTTCGAGGGAATTAGAATGCCGGAAAAGGATCATCGCCGGACTCCTTTTCTGGGGATCCGTTTATCGTATATCGTGATCATGGCCGTTCATCGTATATTGTGCGGTCAATTTTCGTTAAGTATTATTTATATTTAATTTTAAATTTTAAATTTCAAATAATTTTTTATTGCACAATGTACGATGAATGAACATGATCACGGAATCCCTAGGAAAAGGATCCGGTGCTAAGGTGAGAGTTTGAATAAATCATATAATTTAAGTGATTCTTTGTTGTGTGAAAGATATTGGGCTAGTTTGATTCCTAGGATTGAATTTGGTTGGTTATGACTGAACCGGGTTGAATAACTCGTATAATTTAAGGGATTCTTTGTTGTGTGAAAGACATTGGGTTAGTTTGGTGTCTGGAATTGAATTTGGATGGTTAGGATTGAACCAGGTGGTGGGATTCCTTTTCTAGTTAATGAGGAATATTAAAAAAACATGTTTCTTGCATCACAAGTTTCTTTATTTTATATTTTTCAAAGCTCGAACTCAGTACACAAAAATGTATGTGGCATTGAACTGCTAAACATGTGGAATCAATGACCTTATAACCTATATGTTTTTCATGTTTTTTTTTTTCCCCGAATTTAAACTGGTTTGTTGGAGGTCCCGTGACCTTAAACATACAAGTGTGAGGAAACACATTTTCAATTTGAGTCAATAAAGCTAAGGTCCGGTAGCCTTGTGGATCTGCCTAGTTGAGATTCTAGTTAAGCACTTATTAGTAATGTGGAAGCTGCCCATCTTGTCTTGATGGAGTGTAAGCCACCAAACATTAAGCTCCCGAAAGGTAATAAGTAGGGATGGGTTTGGTATGGTTGTTGTGCCAAACTTTGTATTGATTACTGTACAAAATTTTTGGTTTGGTAAAATCCGCTATCATTACCATGCCAAACTTTCAGTATGCCAAATAGTTCAGTTGACATGATATGGTAATGGTAATTGTCATTTTGTTAAACATATATATTTATAGCATGTTAAACATAATTATGGAATGGTAAATGACAACATCGTCTTGTTAATTTGAAGACATGTTTATGGCGCATGGCAATGGTGAACCCAATTAGTTTTTACTTACAACATCTATATCACACCTACTTCTTCCATATTACAAGAAGGTTCATAAACCCAATTAAACTATAAAACAAAACCAATTACAAACTCAATTAACAAAGATGGATGAGTGTGGAGTTGACAGCGGAATAAGAAAGTGTCAAAGAGAGAACCTGAGTTACTAAAGAGTTTTCTTTTCTCTCCCTTTTTTCATTCATGAGTTAGGTCAAGTGGCGATCAAGCCAAACAAATATTATAAATAATATTACAATATATATATACAGTACATTTCGGTAATGCCGTGGTAAGGATATTGAATACCAAAATCGTACCATAAAATTTTGGTTCGATACAATACCGAGCCATTATTAATTGACACAAAATCGGTATGGTATAGTTAGTAATTCGGTTGGCACAATAATTTGATTATAAAATCCAACCATAGTAATAAATGTACATTATAACTAAAAACATCAATAAAGCTGTCGGTTCTGTTGGGAATGTGTGAAGCCATTGTTTCGGACGCAACCTTAGCCAGAGAGGGCTACCACCCCATAGGGGTTGAAGTTTACTTGGTTTGCTTCTAGTGACAGAGGCTATAAGTGTTTCAATAGGAATTCAACTGGTCTCTTGTCTAACAGATTTTAAATTTACTTAAACTTGTTGAGAGTTGTGTCAACTCGCACAATTTTCATTTGAGTAACACAATATATAAAGGGAAACATAAAAAATAAAAGAGCTTATCGGTAAATAAGAAAGTTTTTGATGATGGTGAAGAGGTAAGAATTTTAAAGAAGTTTATAACATTCTAGTTGTATTCAATTAGAATTTGATTTTAAAGAATTTGAAAAAGATGAGGAATAAGAGGGAATTTGAGAGATTTCGCAGTGTATTTTAAGCATTCACAAATCTCACCTCTTCCCATGAGATTTCGAAGGAGTTGAATCAAAATTTTACCTAGAATCTCCACAAATCAATTAAACTCCATAAAAATCCATTAAAATCTCTCAAATTCCTAATTAAATACACCCTGTAGTTTTATTTTTCTTTTTTTATTGATCTTATTTTCTTAATTTTTTTTTTTTTTTTGGCTCCATCGTATTTTCTTCCTTGGAGACTTGGAGTGGCTTCTTTATACTTCACATTAGTTCACACGTCTATACGTGGAAAAGTAAATCTAAATAATCACAAGTAATAGTCTTGGTGCCTTTGTTTCATATAAACTAGGTCGAAAGTTAGAGCAACTTATACAGACAGGTTCACTTGCTCTATGCATACGTCCTTGTCTAATAACGCACTACCACGTTAGTGGATAAGTTCTTCCACCTAGAATGTATTATTGAACGAAACACCATATTAGTAAACTCGTTCTTTCTTGTAAGAAAAAGTTGTCTAATTTTAATGCACATATCCTCACAATATAATAAGAAGAGGGTTTCACAACTGACTGATAACGAGAACACGGTTTCACAGCCTACATATATGCAAACAGGCTAAATTTGTAATAAGTTACATTCTTCCTTGTGAACAGACTTCTAACAACTTTTAGAGATGAATCTCAAGGGGCTAACCTATTGCTTTTATGATTACTTCGTCCAATGACATCGTTTGTGATCACGAGATCTATGACCTGCATAGTGCCTCTTGTGTTTCCTTCCAGATTCTTTGTCACCATCGGATGAATCTGTGGCATCATGCAAGCCACTCGAGTGTCTCCTGTGGCTTGATTGGCTGCTACCCTGCCTGTGGTCTGTTATCACTGTTAAGCTTGCCATCCTTGTTTCTAGATTTTCCATGTTCGGAATGAGTTACCCTGTAGTAGTAGAGTTCCGAATCAAAATCACTTGATTCATCTCTTCCTTTAGATGGACCTGGCCTGCCAGAATCGCCACTCTCTCAACTTCCAGCCTTTCTTTTACAAGTATGGCATATCTCATTCTCAACAGAACTATTTTCGGGTTCCCAGCGATCCTCTTTCTCCGTGAGTACATCAGAGTTGCATCTTATATCATCTAGACCCACACTGCTGGACTCATGGCTTCCACGTGATTTCAAATTTTCAACTAGAGAATCAGCTTCCCTCATCTCTACGCTCAAATTATCACGCCTATGTTTCAAATCTAGTGTTGGGACTTTATCATCATCTGAAATATATGACACTTCATCCAAGCGTTTTGATCGTTTCCCAGCATGACTAGGGGGCCTTTCTGCATCGTTTTCTAACAGATCATCACTTAAGTCAGTACTACAGGACCTGGTGGTTCTTTCCCTGTGATTTGAGAATTTACAAGCTTTGCTGGAGTGTGACGAGGGTCCCATGCTTTTCCTCCTACTGTGATGTTCATCACCTTTCATGTTGCTGTCTGATCGCTCTGCATCAGTGTCACGAGCTCTGTTCTTGATGTCCTTATGATCACCCCGACATCTCACTTTCCTCTTTTGCCCAGAATGTCTACCATTGTCATGGTGTGCAGCAACTTTGTCTCTGTCCCTATCTGACCAGTCCCAATTCACTTCATGATTTTTTGTTCTCCTGATCCCTATATTCATCCGGGGATTCTACTTTCTGCTGTTGGCTTGAGCTTTTCCTGGTACCATGATGTGCTATTCTGTTCCGTTGCGACAAATCCCCATCAGATTCAGTTTCATAGGTTTTGTTCTTATGGTCCCTGTTTTGCTGTCTTGAGCTACGCCTAGTATGTCCACGGTGTCCATCTCTATCTATTTCCCTCTCCACCAATTCTCCATCAGATTCAGTATCCCACTTTCTGCTCCTCCTAGGGTTGTAGTCTCTTAAGTTCTTGCTCTCTTCACATAGATCCTCATCACCTGTACGCTTCTGACGGCATGTTCCCTCTAGAACATAATTTTCATTGTCATATCTTCTACCAGAATCACTGTCCCTCCCTCTAGACCTAGATCTTTGTAAGCCGTACCTGCCATGAATCTGGAAACTATGAGAACCTATCTATAAACTAAAACAGAAGAAAAATGCAAGCTAATATAGAAGAGTTGGAAGACACAGACCAAGAAGTTCTACAAATTATTGTACTGTCCATCAGACCAACAAAAATAAGCACTAAATCTAACACCTAACAGTAAACTACGCCCTCATAGAAAATCATAATACATAAAATAATTAAATCAGGAGATGATAGATTATACAAACTTATCCCAAATTAAACGATGGGCACTTCAAGCACCTGGAAAAATTTAGCACAACAAATTAATTCCTGAATGTGGGCAGTTGTAGTGTCACGTTACCATCACCTGCTGCTTCCTACCAAAATTATTTACTTGCCTCAGATGTATAATTGCATATATTGGAACATGATATATATCTTATGGTATTTTTATGTGCTATATAATCCCGGGCATGAAAACAAGACAAAATTACTACAATGCAAACTCTCACATGCATGTTGCTCTCTCTCTTTCTAGCCCCTTTGCATGGAATTTGACATAAATTGGAAGGTTGCAGTTGTAGGGATTGAATGAAAAATCACCCAATCTAATACCATGATAATTTATCCCGGTAGGATGCATGCCAACTATTGTTTTATATTCCAACAGCTACATTAACATACATCTCACAAGTAATTTATACAACACATTCAACAGCTGCTGCTTAAAGTAAAGCATACCTCTCAGAATCTCCCAATGACTTCTTGCTAGAGTTCCTCCGCTGTCCAAAATTTTCTTGTACCATTGGTTTATCATCTGCATCAGAATAACCAAATAAAGCAACCATTTTTCTCGCCCAAAATTTTGGGGGTGGTCTATCACTATCAGCCCATTCATAGTCTCCACCAGGATTGCGGAAACAGTGGATAAAATTGCAAGCTGTACCACGGGAACATGTCTGCAACATTAAACAAGAATGATTATCAATAAGAGAATCCTCAGACTTCAAGGTTAGAATTGACATATTAAAGCCAAAACTTATTTTATTACTCCAAAACAAAATTCTGTAAAATCTTATCAATCTGAAAAGTACAACCAAAAAAAGACAACGGGAAATGAAGGAACTGCCAAGAAAGAGTGGCTCAAAAAGATAACGGGAAATGAAGGAACTGCCAATACCTTGTACCTCGACTTCATATATTCCCCGCATATGGCAACCTTCCATCTGGTCACATTAATAAATTCACAACTTATCTGCCAGAAACAACAACTAGGTCAACAAACCACCCCTCAAGATGGCAGTTCTGAAATATGTCAAGAATGCAGGGAATTAGCATTTATGGGGAAGCGAAATATAATAAGGAGATTCAAGAAAGAAAGGGATATCCCAAAAACGTTTAGTCAAATAGCAAGCAGGGAAGTTAGTTAAACTGATAGCCAGCTACAATTAGAAGCAAATATAAAACTCGTACAGATATCAATTAAATTAAACTTCAAGGTAGGCAAAGATATGACAGAGGTGCTTTTGCATGAAACCACCCAACATGCAAACAAATAATAGAGGTAGAAAAATGGAATTTTTTTCTCATCACACCCCATAAGCCACTTATTCAAATACAAAGAAAGTGCAATACCTGTTTCCCAGCAAAGTAGCGGCCATTGACAGATTGATAAGCAACAACAGCTGAATCCGTTGATTTGTAGTGTATATACACATTTCCCCGCAAGTGGAATGCACCATTTCTGCAAACCTGACACAGATACTCCATGTGTCACTGTCAGATTACCAACCGAAAATTTGTATGGCGCGAATAGGAAAGTAACACGAAGAAGTCTAGAATTTCAGCCCATTGCCCTTATACTTTTGAAAACAGATGAAGTATTTTGGTATCACAAAGAAGCTGTCAGAAACCTTAAAATTTATAATTTCTCCAAACTTCAAGAATTCCGTATGCACATCCTCATAAAATTCTTCATAGCAGCGCTCAACCTCCTCATCAGTATACTGAAAAGAGGGAAGCAATATGAAACCAGAAAAATTATACTCATCAGCATATACTAAAATAGAAAGAGGCAACTGGCCTATCCCAATATTAAATTTTGTCAAGATACAAAACAGGTGAGCCACACATCCTCCGCCAAAACACGGAAACACCAGTGTGTTCAGAAAGGTAATGGCAACTGTTTAAAGATACTAAGAATGACTGTTTTAAAAAATGAACAATATTGCAACTTTGCATTATAAAAACGTGTACTTGACTTGAATATCAACGAAGATGAGTTCAGATTCACTCACTAAAGCACATGTCTCCACCAAATATAATAGAAACAAAATCCATCTGATACCCTAAATAGTTATTTTAAAAGAATTACAGGGACAAAACTAGGGTTGCCTTAATTTGTTTTCAGGTTCTAACTTATAGCATATGTCAACTAAAAAAAAAAAAAAAAACATCGTACATGCAAAGAAATACCTGAAAATAAATGAAGGAAAACATAACACAACATGGTGACACTCAAAGATCAACCCAATACAACAGAATCTTAGAGCAAAACTGTAAACGGAAAATCGGTAACACTATCATCGAAACAAGAAAAGTTTTCCATTTCTAACCAAACATTCTGCATAAAAAAGCTAACTATATGATTTCTACCTATTTTTTTCTCAATGAAAAGAAAGAAATTTAATAAAACAAAACTGTACAATCAGTGAACAAGAAGCACACCGGCAGCCATAAACAAAACGGAATTAACAAAGATGTACGGCAACCACATAGAAAACTATGATTGCCAGTTCATTATAATGCTTACTAATAAAGATCCTATAATACAAAGTCCAAATGAATTATTTACATTCTTCAGATTCTGATTATGGAAAAAATAAGCAATTCACCTTCATAATAGATTCTTTGTTCTTTTCATTTCATTTTCCTTTGACATGTTTAGAGTGAAAGTAGAGTTAACTGCATTCAGATACTTCTAAAAGTTGTAGCCAACCATCACAAACTGTGGGATGTAAGATGTGATATCAGACAGCTTTAACACCTCCCACGACAGATATATTGCCCAACAAACTATGAGTCGTTAAGGAAGAAAACTTGTAGATTACTACAGTAAACTCATGAACTTATGAAACAATTGAACACATAGAAGAAAAAAAAAAAAAAATCTCAATATGGACACAGAAGCATGATATCTCTCACTGGCATAAAATAAAAGAAACATCATGACCAAACACGACTATAACATCCCTTAAAAAATACATATTTTCTTGTAACTCAGCTTTCTTTTAATTGATAAAATGTTATGTTTGTGATTAAAATAAAGGTTACTTCCAAAGCATGAGACCACAAGTGTTGAGAGACATGTCAACACACAATAGGTTAATATAGGTGTAAAGAAGAAATAAATAGGGTAGAAACCTTATGACATAAAGGTAATAAGATTAAGAAAACAAGGGATACATTATGTGGTAACACGTTACTATTGCCAGCAAGGAAGGATACACTATTGGGGTATCTTTGATTCCAAGAACCAACGCGGAAAGCTTGAACCCCCACCAAAGTGGATCTCACAAATGAATCTCTGATCAATCAAGTCAAAGAAGAAGCGTACCATTTCACAAATGAACAGATTATAAAATGAACTAAGCCACATCCCTGAACTAGGACACAACAAATAACAGCTCAAAACAAAAATGATACAACAGTCTATGATGGTAGAAAACAACCACAAACAACAAAGAAAAAATAAAGGTTCATTTGATGCATATGCCTACTTAACATAGTAGGATTAGAAACAATAAACCAAAGGTTTCACAGATTTGGGAAAGATATGAAAACCCCAAAAGTTAGAATTAGGATACAAGAATCACGGGAAGGCATGGCAGCATTAACAGACCTCGAGCCCCTCATCCTGCTCCCAAGCAAGGCCGGGACCATTGTACATGTTCTTGATAAGCAGTGTGGAAGATTTATCAGGACAGAAATGCACTCTGCTACAACGCTGACCAAACCGACAAGCTCCAGTTTTCAAATGGAAAGGGCAATGAGCTTTATCCTGTCAGATATAAAGTACACAACTTAAAGATTATAGATCATTCACTGCTGATCAAAATGGCAGTCAGCTCGTGAAATATAAAAAGTATTATCAGAGATATAAAGACTAAAGAGTTCCCAACACACAAATGGGTAATAAGGGCAATCATGAGATGACAAAGGAACACCTGTTCAGTTCCAAAATGGGGTACTTGTTCAGCAACACTCTCAATCAGCTGCTGTGCTGACATTGATGAACTTTTATAATCAGAAAAAGCTTCAGATTGTGGAGGGAGAGGATTTGACGTAGGCCTATCAGAATCCTGTCAAAACAAATGACAACCTCCACAATTTAAACTCATTGGTTAAACCAAACATGAAACTTATCTGTACGATAATCTATCCTACAATATATCTAAACAAAGTTCCAGATTCATGTTGCACACCTTTCTACTTTCTTGGTCCGTGGTTTTCTTAGGAATCTTGACCCTTTCTTCTTGAGAATTATCTCATTTCCTTGCCAGATAATTTCAGCAGGTCCTTCTTCATAGTCCCACTCATCAACCTCATTACCGTCATTTTCATTTTCGACCTGCCATACATACCGCAAGCAATAATGAAAACCCATTTTTAAGGCAAAATGTATATTTCCTCCCAAACTATTTCCAAACCAAAATAAATTAGAACCATAATGCTAAGAAGGAGTTGATATGCCCTATAAATAGCATTTTAAACTATCCTACTTCAAGCAGACAATGTTTATGCCTTACCCGTCAAATATAGCTGAAGCGCTGACCAAACATTAACAACGTTCATTTCACAAACACTATATTTTTGTTTCCAAATCAAGACCATGCCTCTTACCACAGGCATGAAGCTATCATATCACCTGACAACAGAAGCATCTTGCAACCCATATAGAAGGATCACTACTCCACAAAACGGGCGTACAAATGATGCTACCTTCACTAAACAACTTAACCAAAAAAAAAACAAAAGGAAATCGTACATGTAACAGAATGCAGTTAAAGCACCGGTACGAATAGCATAATTAGAATCCAGAAAGCCAATGACAACTAATATATTCAGCAAGAGGATAATTTATATATTCAGCAATCCTATTCTTCCTGAGCTACATTGCATCACTAAATCAACCAAGTATCTCTGTTTATCGTATTTCGAGCACATTCTCAAACACCAACTGAACAAATAGATCAATGAACTACAAAACTATGCTGCTAATTTCCGTAATCGAAATTCGAAAATTGCAGTCCAAAGAATAAAGGTTGATAAACAAAACAACCTGTTGATTCCGAGACAATTCGTCTTGATTCTTGTTCGTTCTTCCTCCTCTTCTTCTTCGATTTGTTTCTTCCTCTTAACCTCCATGGCTTCGATCCACGCCGTCTCTCGCTCCTCGAAAATCTTCCCTTCTCTTTCCGACCGCTCGGCCTCCTCTTGCTCGATCATCGTAATCTTCGCAAGCTCTAGAGGATCGTTGAGAATGGCGTCATGTTCCTCTCGCTCTTTCAGCGCCATCTCCTTCCTCGTCTGCTTTCTCTTCATCTTCTTCATCGCTTTCCTCTTCTCCTTCCTATTCGTCATCCCTTTCTCCGCTCCCAAAGGCTCCGTTCTGGGCTCAATACCTCCTCCTACTGCTTCTCTTTCTTTTGCCGCTGCTTCAGCCAGCGCCGACTCCATTCTCTACCACTTGGTTTCAGGCCTGAATTTAGAAAAAAAGTTGCTCACCGTGCCCGTCGGACTGCCCAGGCTTCTTATGCCAGGCCTTGCGACGAAAAACCAATTCAGAGCCCAACGGCTCGCTGCTGGGATTCGCCTTCAACGCTGCTACAGACTTCTCCGACTTTCCCTGTTTGGTTCCCTAGAAAGACAAGTAAAACCAACGACGCCTTAGACGACGAAGATCGAGAACTCAATTCGAAATCGTATGAGGTGTGCGCGTTGATCTGCCGTCGAATTGTGGTAAGGCAATGATTGTGGTGGTGGCGAGTAGGTTGGGGAGTGAGATAGAGAAATGGGTTGTGGTGAAGGACTTTAGATTCAAAACTTACAGTTGCTTTCGAGTTTCTGGAGATTAACAGAAAGCGTGTCCTCTCAGAAAATACTGCCGTGGCAATGCAGTGAAAACCAGACTCTGCTGGCTCCTCCCATTGAAGTCATTCGGGCATTTCAGTCCGCTGCGGCATTTGGTTGAACACTTTCGGGGCATTTTGTCTTGATGAAGTTGCCAATTTTTTGGGCACTGTAGAAATTTATTTTCATGCACTCCAATCTCATGTCTCTTGGGTGCGTTGCGTTCCCTTATATGTGTTATGTCTAATATCTTTGGGTGTCTAAAGAAATTTAGAAATTAGATGAAGGGTTCCAAAGAAAATGGGTGTTTAAAAATGCGTTTTGCGTACAGAAATAAACTTTTTTACCTCTTTGGGTAACGACGGATAAATGAACACCCGTTTTTCCGTTTTCGTTTGATTTATAATTGACAATCAAAAATAAAAAATATTGTGTGAAAATCACTCTTTTAATCAAACATTTGATCACACGTGCAGACAATTACTAAATTTATTATAAAAAAAAACGAGTGTATGTTGACCTAAATCTAAAAAGAGGTTTATGTTGTGAAGTAGGATTATCGCGACACAATGTTAAGTGATGTTTCAAATGCATATGTGTTTTTAGTCAGAATATAATGCAAATTGACATTTCATCAAGTTTTTGGTAAGCCTAAAATCATTTATCAAGTCACATTGCACGCTTGTCGACATATGCCAACATCTTTCGAGCAAGCATGTCGACTGAGATCAATAGCTTTTGTGTGACCATGCCGACATATGCTAGTGTATGCCGAGTGTGCCTATCGGCAAATGCACATAGCAAATGCATACAAAAGAATGAGGCTAGCAACTATCTAACCAAGTGTCCATAAAGGTAATTCATCAAGCAGTTGGAGGGCAACTTTTAAGAACTTCTCAAGTTTTAAAAAGTTATCACCCAGCTCTTCTACAAAAGATTTATGAGCTTGAAAGTGTCAGCTGACCCACCTTACTTTAAGATGGATCCGCCCTTGATAGTGTGATAGGACCCACTTTTCTTTGCCAAGTGAGGGGGACCCACTTTAGCTCGAATAACTTACAGACAAGTTTTTATTTTTTATTTTTTATTTTTTTTTATGAAACTTACAAACAAGTTATTGTGCGGTTGGTTGCACTTTGGATTTGGAGTGTTGGACTACTCACCACTTTCCGTTAAAACTCTGTGCGCTAGTTTTCCTTTTCCTACTAGTGTTCGATCCAACTTCCTCGTTCATGCAGGATTCCAAGGCATCATCAACCGGAAGTGATTCGAAAAAGTATGCATTGTCAGGTTGGAATCTAAATAACTTCCCACGTCTGCCTGGTTCTGCACTGTGTTTTGAAGCAAGCGATATCTCGGGAGTTCTAGTCCCGTGGCTCTATGTTGGGATGTGCTTTTCTTCATTTTGTTGGGTATGTCATTCCACTATGATGGTCGAAAAACGGCCCTCCACATCTTTTATTCCTTTTGTTTTTTGAAAAAGCTTAATATTTTGGTTTACTGTTTTGCTTATTTGGACTTCTTTTTTGTGGTTCGTAACAGCATGTTGAGGACCACCACCTCTATTCGCTAAATTATCTGCACTGGGGTGACCCAAAAGTATGGTATGGAGTCTCTGGAAGCCATGCAATGGATTTGGAACGTACAATGAGAGCGTATTGGCCTGATCTGTTCGAGGAACAACCTGATTTACTCAATGAACTGGTAAGAAGATTTTTATTCACATGCTGACATTTAAAGTTTTTGTTATGATTACCTCAGGCACTGAGATCACATATTCCATCTTTGTTCAGGTCACTCAGCTATCTCCTACAGTTTTAAAGTCTGAAGGAGTACCTGTGCATCGAGCCGTCCAGCACTCTGGGGAGTTTGTTCTTACCCTCCCGCGGGCATACCATTCTGGATTTAATTGTGGCTTCAACTGTGCTGAGGCAATGAACGTGGCCGCTGTTGATTGGTTAGAACATGGGCAAAATGCAGTTGAGCTCTAAAGTGAGCAGTGTCGCAAGACAGCAATTTCACATGACAAATTGCTACTGGGATCAGCTCGGGAAGCTGTATAGGCGCTCTGGGAAAAATCAGTTTTTGGAAAGAAAAATAAAAGAAATATGAGCTGGCAAAGTGATTGTGGCAAAGATGGTCTACTCACCAGAGCAGTTAAGACACGAGTGCGAATGGAGAAAGAAAGACTAGATCATCTTCTAATTTGTATGAAGTTGAAAAAGATGGAAAGAGACTTTGATTTGAATAATGAGAGAGAATGTTTTTCTTGCTTCTACGACTTACAAAAAAGGGGAAAAAAAAAAAAAAAGAAAAGGATTTTACATGAAAAAATGGGTACATTTTACATAAAAATGGTACTTACAAAAAAAGGGGATACATTTTACATATATAAAGTAGTACATTTGTAACGAAATATTGGTACATTATAAAAAAATTATGAGTACAAATAAAAGGTAAAAAAAATTATGAGTACAAATAAAAGTTTAAAAAATAAGGGACAAAAAGAAATTAATACATGGGTACAAATTAAAAATTAAAAGAAAATTGGTACAATTTAAAATTTAAAACAAACTATAAATAGAAATATATGATAAAAAGTTTAGCCATGAACATAAATATACTAAATGTAATGTTTCTAACCCTAAATAAATGACGTTTATTAAAACCCAAGGACCTTGAAAAATTTGAAAATGAATAAGGTTTTAATCAATGGAGTATAAAAACTAGGAACGAGAACCTAATTTCTCTCCTAAAATGTCGCATC